AACAACAATTAACTACGGTTGTATGAAGATTTTTATTTGGATATTTGTCATTTTCATTAGCAAATTAAATTAAAAGTTACTTTGGAAATTTATATGATGCAACTCATGCAAGTGCCTTTTCAAACAAGATTAATGTCCATAATTTCATACATATGATGTTATATTATGGTGACTCTTCAAGCAATTGCAAAGCTAAAAATAGGTCAGATTATCATGAGATTATAAGAGATTATATAAGATGTTATAATACAAACCATGTTTTTCTTAGCATACAGTACAATGATATCAGCCAATAAAGATTTTAGATTGTATAATGGACGTACTTGTAAAGCTGTAATTGATTTTTTTTTTTTTTTTTGGTAAAAAACTTAAAGCTTTAAACGTAGTAGTGTAGTACAGTTCTTTCCTGTTAGTAGAGGCTTTACCTCTTCGTTTATTTGTTACCTATTGAGCATTAGTCATATGTATATTTAACATAATTTTATTGAAATAATTTTCTCACGATTTATACATTCTATATGTTCATTTTCTATGCGGGTGGAAGATTAATATGCATATAGAGTTATATAATAAGGTATTTAAAAGTTCATTATTTTGTCTTTTCGATCTCTTTACACAACTCTCAGCTCGCCATTGAGCAATAACATACGGAGTACTAATTATAATTAGGTAACCAACTTATCTTGGTCATTCGTCACCATATCCAAACTTGTCGAAATGATTATTTTTTTTCTTAGATAGTAAATTTAATTTTATTAACTTGGTGTTCTCCATAAGCTAGGTTACGATATTGAAGGAAAAATTTCCTTATACATCTATGCTTCTCTTAAAAAAAAATAAAATAAATAACATTAAAAAAACATATTGAAAAATTAAACTTGGTTGTAATGAAACATGTAGACATTCCTCATTGGACGATCAGCATAAACTCCCTTTTTATGAGTTTGACCTAGTTAGTGTTGAGAATATTCTGTGCCACTTAATGATATGCTTCTTTGCACTTTGTGTTTGTAGTACAATGTTAATCAAAATATATGTATGTGGCACTTTCGGTGACGTCCAATTACCAAAGAAAATAATTGATGAGATTTAATTCAATATGACGATGAGATAGTCATTCCAAATTGAGATTAAAGATGTAATTTAAGTTTGGTAGATAATTAAACTTTTATGACAAAGAAATTAAAAATGTAATCTTAGTTTGGTAGATAAACTTTAATTTTGAATATATAAACAATTAAGTAAATTATAACTCTACCTATTTAATATAAATATTTTGTTATTTTAACACATAAATTCTTGTTAGATTTGTCTCAAAATATATACAAGTAGTTTTTTATTTTTTAAATCATCAATTATTTGTTATCATCTTATTAAATCTAAATGCAATAACGCTCAAAGTTTTCTATCAATAAGCATAATACGAGTATACAGTCAAGTCAAGTATTTTATGTAAATTAAAAGGAATAGAGAATCATATCGAGTACATAGATACTGCTATAGGAAGTAAGATTTTCAAATTCCAACAAACAACCTCTAAGAGAGGGCGACAACTATATATGAAACTCGAACGCGGGTTGATGTTACATAACGTATGTCATGACACATCTTAGTAGGAAAACAATGAGCACAAGGCAATTCGATATGTATGTACAACATAATGTTCCATTATTGTGCATGTTAAATTAGGTCGTGGCTAGGCTACACTACTATTGGATATAAACAATAAGTAATTAAACAACACAACAGCATCTAAAACAACAACTTTACACCGATTAAGGCTGTGCAAACTAAGTTATAAAGTTGGCTTAAACATGTAAACATGGCAAGAAATTACAATAGATTAAGGGTCTGTTCACATTTGCTGAACTGAACTGAATGATTGAAGCTGAATTGAACTAAACTAAACTGAGCTCAAAATGAATGTTTTATGAGAGAAGGAAATTAGGAACTGAATTGAAATTAAGCCAAAATAAATAGACCCTAGTTATTGTTTCAAGCTAATTAAGCTCAAGTGACCCTAATTATTGTTTCAAGCTATGCATGCTCCACCTTTTTTTGAAAAGTTATGCACATCATGAATCACACATAGCTAGTATAGGTGAAGCCTAATTGACCTAAAAAATAAAAAGACATGGTCAAAATTACTACAATAAATAGTCGAATGGTGTAATTATTTTCTAAACGAAAAATTGGAAATGGATGGGACATAGAGAGAGGTCCATATACACGAAGTAGATTGGAGCAAATCAGCAACTTGAAATAATGAAATCCAATAATGCACAAGAATCTCTTATTGTGTTTTTCCTTTAATTTGTTAATTGATAAAGAGTACACTTGTCAAAATGGTAGGAACAAGAAAGCTAAGATTACCATTGTTTTAACACGACATCACACAATGGAAAAGGCAAAATGGAGGGTCAATAAGTCAATGTCTATAGTGGTAATAATACTATTTATTTCTAATTAAAAACAAAAATTTATATTTAAAATGCATTTTCTTTGAAACCATCACTAGCCCAAAGAACATCAAACAATTAAAAGTTAAAAGAAAGAATGAACTTTATTTCTTTTTCAAGTGGTTATATGATGGCCTATGCACCAAATATGGGATACATGTGCTCAAATATAAACTATGACCCGCAAATGAAAACTCCATAATTTCCTTTTTTTACAAAAACATCAATAAGGAATTTAGAGGTTTACCTTCCGTTTTCTTTTTTAAGCTAGCTCAAGCAAAATCGTACGGATGAATAAAGTTATTATATCATGGAGTATGAGAGTGGGGGGATACTGGATAGATCAAGTGGTTAGAGCCCCTCTAAGATCGATTCTCATCACTCGTCTTTATAGATCTCTAAACACCAAAAAAATTATATAAGGAGTCTACATTGTTATTACCTCCTTTGTTTTAGAATAATTGTAAGATTTGTAACAAATTAGAGGTGATCAAAATGGACCTGACTCATTCGCCAGCTTGACTCGTTGGCCAACCCGACCAAACCCGACCACCCCTGTTCCCAATTGAGTTGATGAATTTAATGATTTTGTGTGCACGCGACTAACCATGAGAAAGCTAAGTAGGGTTCATGGGAATGCGGAATAAAAAAAATGAGTAAATAAAACTAATTTAAAATGATTTATTTATTTATTTTTATTACCCATTCTCACCTTCCTAAATCCAAAACCCTCATCTACAAGTATAGTATGCCAAATAAATATTCATAATTGAATCAAGGATGAATTGAATATAACCACTACAAGAGTTTCTAATCTGCATGCATACAATGAGGCTTGAACCCGAGACATCCCTTAAGCGACATCAAGTTGCTAACCACTTGAACCAACTCTTATTGGTAATTATTATTGACACTTACTTGACTGTTTTATAAATTTTTTTCGACAATTGACAATTTTAAACTAGTTTAACACATGTTCCACTTGATATTGAATGATAGTCAATAGGAAGTATTAGACAATTTTAGGGCATTGAGTCATTGACACTTGAAAAAACAACCTAGAGGCTAGAGCCAGTTTAAAATATACTCCCTCCGTTTTTTTTTTTTATATGCATCACTTTCTATTTAGGGTGTTTTTTATATATGCATTACTTCTATATTTGGTAACTTTATATTATATTTTATTATCTCTCTCTCTTCTCAAATACCCCACTCAAAATATTTATCATTTCACTCTCTTTCATGCTCCCCACTTATATTATTAAATAAATCATTCTCTCTCACATACTATCTATTTCATGACTCACATTGTAATTTTATCAAAATAAATTAATCACCCACTTGCCCCATTTGCACAATATAATATTGAAGCAAATAACTTTCCTAAAACTCCGTGTAAATGCAAGTGATGCATATAAAAAAAACGGAGGGAGTAACTTGTGTTTCTCCTGATATTAAGTGGATGTTAATGTATAGTTGGCCCCTTTCAATTCACCTTATTTTTGCTGAACTGAAATTATTTTTATTGGATTGAAATTATATTTGCTAACTTAAATTATTTTTAATGAACAGAAATTAATTTTACTGAATTGAAATTATTTTTACTGATTCTCTGTTAGGCCCTGTTCTCTTCACCTTAAAAAAATATTCAGTAAAAATAATTTTAGTTCAGTAGAAATAATTTTAGTTCAGTAAAAATAATTTCATCAGTTCAGTTTAGTAAAAATAAGTTCAGTTTAATTTAGTAAAAATAAGTTCAGTTCAGTAAAAAGAATTTCAGTTGAGCAAAAATAATTTCATCAGTTCAGTATAATTAATTACAGTTCAACAAAAATAATTTCAGTCCAGTAAAAATAATTTCAGTTCAACAAAAATAAGGTGAAATAAACGGGGCCTTATATTTATTCTTTATAGTTATAGATTTTTACTGAACTGAGATTGTTTTTACTAAATTGAACTTATTATTGCTGAAATGAACTTATTTTTACTCAATATTATTTTTGTAAAGTGAAGTAAACAGGGCCTTACTAGCACCTTTACAAAGTTCGTATAACTATCGTGCTACTCGCCCTAAAAAGTTCACCAATTTAAATTGCTACACTAAAACATTAAATTAAATTTGTGGCATTTTTATTTTTATTTTTTTATTTCACCTGATTCACCTTTTTAAATTATCAGAATTTGAGGATCAGTTATGAACGTTTAGGTATCAGTCCTCCACCAATTGTTGGTGACATAGTACTCGTAATTCTCTAAAGTTTGTGTAGCTACGAGCTTGTTCTCTTCAACTTAATTTTAGTTTAGTCCAGTTCAACTCCAATCAGTTCAGATCAGTTCCTGAAATTCATCTCTCATAAAATATTTATTTTAACTCTATTCAACTCAGCTCTGATCAGTTCAGTTTAATCCTTCAACTCAGAGCAGACCCTAACTTTAATTTTTTTTGGGAATAATAGCAAGAGATAAATAAGATAATGATTGGTGACGATTGACCCTTATGACAGGGAGATCCAGTTGGTATGACTATATACTTTGTGAGTTTCCCACTCCTCGTACTATTTATCATCCATTTCTAATACTTGGGTGTTCATACTACACTGTATTACCAAGCAAATACAGAGGAGAGAGAAAATTCTGCAAATTTTGAGATGTTGAATTATGAAAACATGATGGGTGATTTTTGGGGAGGAGCCGCTCATGGTCCTCTCTAAACTACCCTGCTCTTCCTGCTTTCTTTCTTCCTCTTTTTTGCCCAGAAGATTTATTTTTAAGGAAAAAGTAGAAGATTTTGAGGGAAATTTATGAGCAAACAGACAAATCATCATCTGGGTTTCAATCATTTATTCTGCCTTTTCTGTTAAGAAATTTCTGGGATTTTTTTAGCATCAATTTGTCACTTTTTTTGGGGGTTTTTTCATGAAAGTTAAAACAGGTAACTTTCTGTATTTCTTGAAGAAAGCTCACTTCTTTATTTTTGATTTTCCTTCTGTTGTTTGGATTTATTGATATTATGATGTGGGTATGTTTGTTTGGATTCATTGTTCTGATTTTTTCACTTTTTATTCAGTTTATATAGTTTGAATTTCTGAGGTTTTTATGAAAGTTTCTTGTTTTGATGCTAAATAGCCAAAGATTAAGGTTTTGTAATTTTTGGTGTGTATATGGCAGCCACAAGAAGTGATGTAGACGTAATTTGATCTCGAGCCATGGCTTTTGGTTTCCTACTTTAACCAACTAAGCTAGTCCAAATTAAGGGTTGATCCAAATGGTCCTTGAATATGTGCTTCAGATAGTGGGATATTAGCAGTCTTTTAGGAAATTTGTATACCTTTTATTGCAAAATAAAATTCTAGAAATCAAGCTACTTTAATTCTAGTAACTTTTAGCTCTGAATCTGCTTTTAACTTGTTTTCAATCACTTCAAAGCCTAAAAAAGCATAATTCTTACTTGTCTTTACACTTTGTTGTCAATTATAATTGTGAATCTGCCTTTAGACAACAAATTGATTATGATGAACAATATTTTGTATGTTTGGTTGAGTTTATCAATTTAAATTTCAAGCTGCATATTTCTTGTTAATATTGGTATTGGAATTTGAAAATTGATGTTTAAATTGCAATTTTAATCTTGTTTAAATTTTTATACAACAATTATAGATAAATATGTATGTGCAAATAAGCAACTTTTGTTTACATTTCTAAATATGTAAGAGACTGATGTGATTATATGCTACTTTTGTCTTTTTGAGTTTATCACTAGCTAGCAGCTAAATTTGATAGATTCTTAAAATACACACACTAATTATATATTGACAGGTAGAACGGAATTCCTGAACTGGTTGTTGTGGCTGTTTTGTTAAGGGCTAAAGTGTTAAATGCTCAAGTGTCAGCATATTATTCTGCAGGGAAAAGTCGCAGTTGTTATTCTGGTGTATTATCAGTCGAGGCAAGTGGCAGTGAGCGTATCTTCTCTAACAGTGCAGTATCCGCAGATGTATTGACTCCCTTTGGGGGCAAATCTCCTTTGGCAATATAGTTCTGGTTGAAAACTAGAACATCAGTATCTATTCATCAGCTACATAGCTAGCTATCCCGGATAAATCTCCTTTGGCAATATAATCTGTGCTTTGAAAAGCATAGATTTAAACAAAAATATACAAAATAAACTTAGCTCATTAGGGCAAATCTCCTTTGGCAAAAATTCAGTTAAGTAACTCTTTGCAGTGTAATATCTCTAAGAGAGGTCTTCATCTGCTGGCTTGTGGCTACTACTCCTATCTGTTTTCCTGTATCCTATCCCAACCATATTGCATATTTCTCTTGACATTTTCATTCCCTTTCCTTCTTATTCGTTAGACTTATCCTTCCTCCAAAAAAAAAAAAAAAATCTATAGAAAAAAAAAAAAAAATTGTTCATTCCTTAGGAAAATCTCCTTTGGAAATATTCAGTCCATTTTATTGGGCAAATCTCCTTTGGCAACATTAAGTCCAATTTGTTGGGCAAATCTCCTTTGGCAACTTTAGTCCCATTTGTTGGGTAAATCTCCTTTGGTTGTAGGAGTCAAAAACCGACTCTTATTATCCTTGGGGGCAAATCTCCTTTGGCAAACTATCTCCGGTTGAGATACCTATCTCTTGCTCTCCACTAAGGAAGCACAATTATCCGGTCACTTTAAGAAATAAATTATCTTCGCAGCACCAATTTACTGAATATTTGCTCAAGCAGATCAATTCCTACTGAATCTAAAGGTATGTATCTCACTTGTATCTTCTACGGTTTATTAAGCCTATGTGAAAATTGGAAACTTCGTTTGAGATTGTTGTGATTGCAGTAATATTCACCTTTTGACCTGAATTTATATGCCATCATTTTTTTTTTTGAAAGGTTGGAGTGAAAAACCTGTCATCTAATGTTTCCAGCTCATATATTAATGTGTTATGATCTTATATGGTGCTCATACAGCAACAAGGATCATGGCAATGGAACTGTTTGGTGATTCTGATGTTGAGAGTTTCAGTGAGACCAGTAGTGATGATCAAGATGATATATTTTCCATCTACAGCGGACACGCTCAGAGTATCTTGTCCAATCTTGAAGACAGCATTGAGAAAATAGATGATTTCCTCTCTTTTGAGAGAGGGTTCACACATGGGGATATTGTACGCTCCACAGGAAATCCATCTGGACAAATGGGTAAAATAGTGAATATCAAAATGTTTGTTGATTTGGAAAATGTTTTTGGTGAAGTCATAAAAGATGTCAATTCCGAAAAACTGTCAAGGATGCGGTCCATTTTGGTTGGAGATTATGTGATTCATGGTCCATGGCTTGGAAGAGTGGAGAAAGTGGTTGACAATGTTGGTATTGTATTTGATGATGGAACTAAGTGTGAAATCATGGCAACTGACCAAGCACAGTTGTTGCCACTTTCTCCCAATTTACTCGATGATTCACTCTATCCCTTTCATCCTGGACAAAGAGTGAGCTTTAGTCACCCTACTTGCTCAAAATCTACTGGATGGTTATGTGGGAGGTCCAAAAAGAATCAACACGAGGGGACTGTTTATTCTGTTGAAGTTGGACTTGCTTACATTGACTGGATTTCCTCTGCTATGGTTGGTGTTTGCATGACCTTACCTCCTCCAACCCGTTTGCAAGATCCCAAAAACTTGACCATGTTATCATACATCTCATATGCTAACTGGCAACTTGGTGACTGGTGTGTCTTTCCATCAGAAATTGGATTGCAGAAAAGTGATTCGTATTCACATTTTGATGAGATTTTTTCAATTGTTAAGAAAAAAATCAAAGTAGATGTCATGTGGCAAGATGGTAATTGCTCATTGGGGTTAGATTCACACACTCTCTTCCCCGTATGTGTTCTAAATGCTCATGATTTTTTTCCTGAACAATTTGTTTTGGAGAAGACTAGTTCTGATGAGCTAGTTGCGCCAGTAAGTCAAAGATGGGGGGTTGTTAAATGTGTGGATGCAAATGAGAGGACTGTCAAGGTAAAATGGGAAACCACTGGCAGTGTTCCTAAAGACGTCGATGAGTGGAAAATGGAAGAGACTGTGAGTGCTTATGAATTGGTTGAGCACCCTGATTTCTCCTTTAACCTTGGTGACATTGTGTTCATGTCAGATAAGAACCATTATGCTGATCATTTGAACAAGATGAGCAGGGAAAACTGGACTACATTGGCAAGTGACAACTGTAATGTTGAATTGAATGAAACCCAGAGGAAACATTTCCTATCCTTTATCGGCTGTGTTGTTGGCTTCGACAATGGATATATTAAGGTTGAATGGGCAAGTGGAGTCACAGCAAAGGTATGAATTTCTTTGATCTGCTTGTTTGTATTAATCGATTTCTACTTGTAATCTTATAGACTGGTGGGTTTAAAGCTGGTTACTTTAAACTCTAAAAATTTGAGATTTGGAAGTCTGCTGCATATTGAGTTTTGAGTTAAAAATTATTGGAAAATTATGACATGGTGTTTATAATTAACATGTAGTATATATGCTAGATTTTAAGCCTCTGAGGGGATTCTAAGCTAACTAAACAGGAGAACCCTTTCATGCTTTCTCTAACAGATGATTGAAATAAGCAATCTTTTTTGTAAAATTCTCCCGTTTTAGGTGTCTGCATTATATGACTTTGTAAGTGAAACTGCTCCAGTGGGTTTGATATATAGGGTGATACTACTCTGTGATTTAAGAGATAATGTTGCAGACGCCCTTAAAATCTCCATTTTAAAAAAGGGAATGTTCTCCGCCATCAACTTATTGTTCATGGCACCTTGCTGTTTTATTGTTTTTAGGTTGCTCCTTATAAGATACTTCGCATGGAAAAGGATGATGGATCAGTTGCAACTCATAATTTCCCAGAAGGAAATGGTGCTGAATTCAGTAATGAGATGGCTGACTATGAGAAACAATCTGTGAACAATCAGGTGAATACTTCTCTTCTCTCCCTAAACCCTACAATTGCTTAGATGTACTTTCGTGTCTTCGTTGTGCTCTGGTTATATTCATACGTCAACATGGCTTCAACACAATGACTCTAAAGTCTAAACAGGCTATAACATAGGTGGGTAGGGTAGGTCGTATATGCGCAATCTTATCTCTATGATGCCAGAAAAGCTAATAAGGTCAACCCCATATTTAGAAAGTAAAGAGCATAAACTCCATGATTGGACAGCTCTTCCACTCTATGATTTTATTCGCTGCTAACCTCTCAAGATCGCCTTACTTTTTGTTGAGAATGAATCAATGAAGTTCCCCTCTTTCATACTTAGGCCCTGTTCACTTAACCTTATAAAAATATTATTTAGTAAAATTAATTTCAGTTTAATTAAAAAAAGTTCAATTCAGTAAAAATATTCAGTTCAGTAAAAATCGGAAACTTAGGAGAAGAAATATAATAGGGAATCAGTAAATATAATTTCAGTTTAGCACAAATAATTTCAGTTTAGTAAAACTAATTTAGTTCAGCAAAAATAATTTAAGTTTCGCAGAAATAATTTCAGTTCAATAAATAATTTCAGCTTAGCAAAAATAAGGTGAAGTGAACATTGCCTTACTCTGAACTATATGTAAGATGTATGAAGGCCAGCCACTGTAGTGCTACATATCCTTTTTCACGTTTTTTTAAATTTTAAATGATGAGTTATTGTGTTGATGTTGGTCTTTATCAGCTAATGTTCTGTTACTCATTTTGTTGTACTTGTACCTGAAAAAACGAAAGTTTATAATCTGCACCAAAGCTATGTTTAATGATTTGAAGCCTGTCCATTTTCAGGATTCATCAGAAAATTCTGGTATTGATGCTGTAATTTGTCAAACCGACCATAGGAGTTCCCGCTTCTTCAGCCTTTCTCAAGCTGCAATGGGGCTCTTTACTAGTATTGCTGAAAATTTCTTCAGATCACATGGTTCAACATCCCTACCACAACACCTGTCATGTTCCCATGCAATCGGAGAAAGTAATATTGGAATTTTTGACGAGGAAGACATCATCGAGTCTTGTGACATGGGGCCAGATAACCACACCATGGAATTCAGTGACTTTGATACTTATGGGAGCATAGATCTGAAACAGAAAGTTGCAAATAACTCAGAGAATATGGAACTACTGTCTGTAGCTAAATCTAAAAGTGTAAGGCAGTTTAAACAGTTCGACATTGTAGGTGATTGCTCTGACCATCACTTTGCTGATGCAGATGGCAAGGGAGCAGCATCTCAGGCAAGTATATATAGCTTTTTCTAAGAGCTTAAGTAGTTTAACGTATCACCTTGAAAGGAAGGGTTGATTTGCGTTACTAAGTGATCATGTCTTTCAATGCTTTCTGCAGAAGAAAAAAGGTTGGCTGAAGAAGGTTCAGCAGGAATGGAGCATTCTAGAGAAAGACCTTCCAGGTAAAACCATTTTTTATTTTTTTTATTTAATATAATTATTATTATTATTGCTTCTTTTGTATTGCATAATGTTTGTACAATCTTCTTTTCCTGCTCTTGTACTGATAAAAATACTTTTATCAAAGCAGAAACAATCTATGTTCGGATTTATGAGGAAAGAATGGATTTGATACGTGCAGCCATTGTTGGTGCTCCTGGAACTCCCTACCATGATGGCCTTTTCTTCTTTGATATAATGCTTCCTGCTGATTATCCTCTAGTACCTCCTGTAAGTGTTTTCACTCTAGTAGTCCTTATTTTAAAAACGCAAAGAATGCCAAACCCAGTAGTTTGCTCACAAATTTAAGTGATGCATAAAGTACTGGGTGGTGGGTGTGACCGTGGCACCGTGCATGCCTGCAATCAAACATAATTAGTATATTTATCATTAAGGCCTTGTTCTACTCATTTTTGTAAAAGAAAATACTATTTTTCGCATCAATAAGTTTGACTAGGTCCCTTCTACAACCAATAGTAAGGAATAGGATCAATAAGCTCTGAAGTATTAGTGAAAATATGAAAATACAATGGTCTAATTCTCACAATATCAGATTTGTGTTGGAAAGCAAAGGGTAAAAAATTAGAAAATTTTGAGTGCTTATGTAATGAACAATAATGAACAATTTCATGAATGTCGTGAGGAGAATCTGATACAGTGTTACATTGTGTAATATGACACAGATGGTGCATTACCACTCTGGTGGTTTGCGTCTCAATCCAAACCTTTACGAATCAGGAAAGGTGTGTCTCAGCCTCCTCAACACATGGACTGGCACAGGATCTGAAGTGTGGAATCCAGGAAGCTCGACTATTCTTCAAGTTCTTCTCTCTCTTCAGGCCCTTGTGCTTAATGCGAAGCCTTATTTTAACGAGGCAGGGTATGATGAACAGATAGGAAGATTAGAGGGAGAGAAGAACTCTGTGGGCTACAATGAAAATGCTTATCTGGGCACATGCAAATCTATGTTATACCAATTACGAAGGCCACCCAAGGTATGATGATCACTACTCAATGAAAGTACGAGTCCATCTCATGAATACTCATGGAATGGGCTTGCAACAATAAATTTATTCTTGTTTTATCGAATTTCGTTAGAATATCTTATAATGTTTATTACAAAGTTAAACTTATCAAGTGTATAACTCTGATCATGATTAAATACTGCAATTGGCAGCATTTTGAGGAGCTGGTCGAGGAGCATTTTGAAAGACGTTCTCAGCATATTCTATCAGCTTGCAAGTCTTATATGAAGGGTGCACCTATTGGTTTCTGTATCAAAGTTGAAAATGAAAAGGGAAACTCAATGGGCTTCAAGATTATGCTAGCTAAGCTCTTTCCCAAGCTTGTGCAAGCCTTTTCTGACAAAGGAATCGATTGCAACCAGTTTATCGAGCCAGAGAAATAAGAGCCAGTGACAATAGATCACTGTGTTGGCCACTGGTACTATCTCACGGTGTTAAAGTCATCGTGTGTACAATGTGTAAAATAGAAATGTATATCATTTTGTTCGCGTTCCACAGGATTTGATTGGAAGTTCGTGTAAAATAGGTGAATGAAATGAAAAGATTGTATACTGTATTTGTGAAGAAGTTTACTTCTGTCTTGTGTACTTGCCAAATGTTTGATATGTTGCAAAGCATCAATAATGTTTTTGTTTGATCTAATTGTAATATAAGAAATGAAGTGTGAAATGTAAGAATATTGATCTATGCTTTACATTACTTGTGTCCCTTATTATACTTCATTTTATTAAGCACTTTTCTCAAGAACTTTTGGTGGCCTAAGATGAAGAACTACTAAGCCACTGATTTGTCAAAAATGTTGACATTTCGACTCATAAGAGACCTCAACCATTAATGTAATTTTGGGATGATTTGTATAATTATGTTTTGATTTGAGTTTTTGGGAATGCATTGGGATTAGATATTACTCTTGACTAAATTAACTCAAAATTGATTACACAAATTAGACTTTAAGTTTCCTTAATCTATATTCCCTCTCATAATAATCACAACACTTTGACTTTTACACAATTCATATGCTTACTTTTACTAAACTTGTTATCAATATTCATGTACATTTTCATTAAATCAAGTGTTTATACTTATTAATGATATATATTACAGTACAATAATTAATGATCAAAGTTATAAATTGGCATATGTATCAATCAAAATGTTGTGGTTATCATGAAACGGAGGGCGGAGGGAGTACCAGAGGTGATCAAAGGACATGTCGCTGTAAAAATTTAGCCCGCTTGGCCGGGCTAGGCCAAGATTTAATCGAAAATGCTTGCCCAAAACTCACAAATTTGGATCGGGTCTCGCGAATTTTTGGACCATGCTAAAACATTAACTTAAAGCTTAAAAATGCAAATCCAAGACCCACGGGTAAATTCTTAAAAAAAATCAGGACAAGACTGGGATTAAGGGCATGTTTTGTTCACCTTAATTTCAATTCAATTCAGCTCCAATCAGTTCAGTTCAGCTCCCAATTTCCTTATCCCACAAACAATTCATTTCAGTTCACTTTAATTCCGCTTCTATCACTTCAGTTTGATAAATGAGAACAGACCCTAAATTAGGACAGAATAAAACTCAAGAAAACCCCTAAATAATGAAACATAAATAAGGAATTATGGAGTATTTTATAGTGTTTGCCGGGTCAAAGACGGTATGATAAAATAGTTGTACAAAGTGAGTATAAGCCAAACCAAAACCCTTAAAAATCAGAGAGAGAAAGAGAGTTGTTTTTACTCGCTCAAACAGCAAAAAATGGACACTCCTCCATTCTTCTTCTTCTTCTCCACTACAAAGCTTTCTCTCTCTTCAATCTCTCTCCTATTTCTCTCTCTAACAACCATTTTCTTCACTCAATCCTTCTCCTACCAAATCTCTTCTTCTTCTTCTTCCTTCCGCACCAATTCAATCCCTTACTCCGACCACTGCGGTCAACTCGTCCCTGAGTCAACGCCCACTCACCCTTTCTTCACCGCCCAAGTTCCCGCCTTCTACAGTGCTTACGTCATCAATGGCGATCAATTCCTCGGACCCAATTCCCAGATCACCGCAAATCTCATCCCACAAACCGTTTTCAACACCTCCTCATCTGGGGTTTTCAAAATTCTATCATCATTGCTTGTTAGAGTCAATTGGGCTCGATTGAGGAACTCGAGGAATTTGATCAGTGTTCATGGCGGTCCTCGGCTTCGAGTTAATTCGAGGAATGTGAGGTTTCAGCTTTCTGGGTTTTGGGATTCGGCTTCTGGGCAGCTTTGTATGGTGGGATCAGCTTCAAGGCGTGTGATTAATGGTAATAATCGTCATTTTGATGCTGTTTTTAAGTCTGTTTATCCTAATTCTGCTGTTATTAATACTAGTTTGATTACTGGGACTTTGGAGAGTTTGGATTCTGAAGGTAGTGATGGTTATTTTAAGCTCATTTCGATTATGAGTTTTTCTAAGATGAACTATGCTTATACATTGATTAAGGATGATGTTAATAATGTTAGTAATGTTGATAATGTTAATGATGATAAGTCTTTGGTTAATGGGGGGAGGAAATTTGGGAATTGTTATCAATTTGCAAGCTTAGAGGAGAATTTTGAGCTGGAGTATAAGAGTGAATGTGATGGTAGGAATTGTAGTAGGATTGATGGGATTCTTGGGTTTTTGCCTAAGTTTATGTCATTGAATGAAATTGATTGTTCTGGGCCAAAGATGGTTCGGGTTTCCTTTGGTTTTTCGAATGTTAGTGATATTCGGAATGGTTATAGACAGCCATTGGATCCTAAAAGGACATTAGTTGCTGAGGGATTGTGGAATGTAGGAAAGGGTCAGCTTTTCTTTGCTGCTTGCCGGATTTTGAATTTCACTAATGAGCCTTTGAATGCTACGATTGGTGATTGCTCGGTTAGGGTGAATTTTACATTTGCGGATACTTTGTCCATTAGAGATACAGGGGTGATTACCGGTCATATTTGGAGCATCAAGAGTGCGGATGAACCAGGTGACTTTGATAGAATTGAGATTCGTGCTTCTGGAACTAGGAGAGCTGCACTTCCAGACATGAAATATAAGTATACTGAAATTGATAGAGCCCAGAAATATTGTGCAGAAAAGAAAGGCAGTAAGCAAAAAGTAAAGAGTTTCCCTGATCCCTATTCCCAAGATATGAAATTTGACATGGAAGTCAAGAATACCAAGGGTAAACGGGCCTGGGGCAAGGCCTATCCTGTGTTTGTTGGTGATCGTTTTGTGCAGAATATTTATCCATATTTCAATTCGCGGCTAATACCCATTCCAAAGTCTGCTGTGAATAATAGCTACCATGGCTTTCTAAATATTGGCTATCGGATAACTTTTGCTCCTAAAGGTGAGTTTAAGGTGGGGGGTAGATCATTCACTATTAACGATACAATAAGAATATCTGCTGAAGGGATATATGATACTGATGCTGGACGCCTTTGTATGGTAGGCTGTTGGAATCTTAAAAATGATGGCAGTGCTCCACTAAATGCAAGTAAACTTGACTGTGATACTTTTATCAACATTCAGTTTCCTCCTCGTGATTCAAATGTTAAAGACGTGGTCAAGGGAACTATTGAAAGCAAACGTGAAAATGTAGATCCTCTCTACTTTGACCATCTGGATCTTTCAGCTACTTCACTGACAAAGTTCCAAGTAAAAAGTGCTTTTTGGAGGATGGATTTCGAGATTGCTATGGTTTTGATTTCTAACACTTTAGCATGCGTCTTTGTTGGGTTGCAGCTATTCCATGTTAAAAGAAATCCGAATTGCCTTCCACATATTTCACTTGTCATGCTCATTGTGATAACCTTGGGACATATGATTCCCTTGCTTTTGAATATGGAAGCATTTTTCTTGTCCAGTACCAGCAAGAGAACTGTGCTTGTTGGAAGTGGCGGATGGCTTGAGGTGAATGAAGTTTTAGTCAGGGTTATAACCATGGTTGCATTTCTTCTAGAGTTCCGTCTTCTACAGTTAACATGGTCTGCTAGAGCTGGTGAGGAAGACAACCAGAAAACCTTGTGGGAAAGCGAAAAGAAGGTTATATACTACACTTTGCCTTTATATGTGGTAAGGGCTCTGATTGCTTGGCTTATACTACTATTGAGGGGTTCACATACTGTACCGTATCAGCATATCAATATAAACTCAAACCCTTCCCTTCCATTCTGGCGTGATGTGAAGTCATATGCTGGTTTCATTCTAGATGCCTTTCTTCTCCCTCAAATTATCTTCAATGTATTCTCTGATTCAAAGGAGAGAGCTCTTGCTGTTCCATACTATCTTGGGACCACAGTTGTTCGACTGCTGCCACATGCTTATGATCTGTTCAGGGCTCATAGTTCATCATGGAGCTTTGACCCTTGGTACATTTATGCAGACCCAGGAATGAATTTTTATTCCACTACATGGGATATCCTAATTTCATGTCTTGGCCTGCTGTTTGTCGTCCTTATCTTCTTGCAGCAGTGGCTTGGTGGAAGGTGGATTATTCCTAAGAGATTTAGCAAGATCGTTCAATATGAAAAAGTACCTGTGGGGCTGTAGGAGGGAATAGGTGATTCAAAGCAATGTCCATAAAAGCCTATCGTGCACCATTGATTTTTATTCTCGGCCCCTGTTGTTGGGGGAACATATGTCCGCTCTGGTTATGTTAGATGCAATTGAATTTGGTACTGTCCTGATAATCCTGTATACCAAGGCAAAGTCTGGTATGAAACTGCTTTACTGTAACATAATGTGAGATGGGGTAATGAATCCATATTTTGGATAGCGTTCTTACTTTTTGGAGGTTTTTAAGATTTCACAATTTTTACGAGGCAAAGGCAGTATCGTTGAAAACTTACTTTGTTATACCAAGAATGCTTGTTGTCCACTTGAATTATGATTATTTAGATCAAACAGTATATGTTAGAGCACCCACAATGGTGGGGTGGCTCGCTGCTTTCTCTTCCCTACTTTTCTTCCTCCACATCATATTCCACTCTCTTGAATCACTCTCTTAAGTCACTTCCTTATTTTTTCTACAATGGTGAGTAACCCCACAACTCTCTCTCATACTTTTATCAATACCCCACCATGATTTATTAGTACCGTTTTAATTCACAATATGGCAAAAAAAATTGAAAAGATGAGTTGAGCTTCACGTGGGCCGAGGTGTCAGGTGACCCGCCGGAGAGGGTATCCCCAACCTATGGGTTACCCATGAGTCACCTCCTACAATGGTGAGGTAGCTCAAATGGAGGAGAGAGAGAGTTGTGGGGAGGGTGCTCCTCACTATTGTGGGTGCTCTTACAAGTATGAAATATCTAGCTGCTTATTTATGTAGCATTTCATCTTCTCGGATGTGCTTATTTTCCCGTTTTATTTAGTTACTATTCCTTCCGCTTCTCTTTGAAGTGCTTGATTGGAAGCTTGCACTTGTTCATAATTTGAAAGAATCTTCTAAATTGATTCAATCTTATACTTCGTAAGAAAAAACGGTCGCAAGAAACTTATGATGAATTTCGTCTCAATGAGTGTTTTAAAAGTATGAAATTTTCATAATTTTTACTAATACGTAACTGAAAGAGATTAATGATCCTTGATGTTGGTTTAAATAGTCTTTTACAGGTGGAAGATATTTTCCGAGGAATGCCACATTTTCCAAAGATTAGTCATTTTCCTAAGTTTCGATATTCAAGGTCCATTAGCATTGTCAAAAGCATAGCACAATAATTCACTCACAAGTCACAAACTAGTAGAAGAGGTCAATTATCATTGCCATTGATCACTTTCTTTTGTGCTACCAGTAATCAGCACAAGAGCACGATCCATCTTTAAAATGGTGAAAACGAAGTTTATCGCGAACTATAGTTTCTCTGTTAGTAACACTAGAGATAAACTTAATTGCTAAATGGCAGTCCTCGCACATTCTCAAATTCTTCACAATTCTAATTACAGACTCCTTTTTAGCCTTCAACAACCCAAATGCTAGGGCGAGCTTCTCACTATGGTATCGAAGAGCATACTCTCGCTCTTCTTCTTCCAACTCGTGAAGGACAGACTCTTGTGCTGAGACGTAGCCAAGTTCACTAATCTTCCTCATCAGATCATCCAAGTACTCATATATTTCACTGGTTACAGAATTGGACTTATCTCCCATGCTAAACAAATAAGTCCTTTGATCAACCTCTATTGTGCTATAACCAACATGCTTCTTCAAGCGTTTTCTGATCATTACGTTCCTAATTTTCTCTACTCTCTCCATCTTACCAGCCAATGCATATACATTCGATAACATAACATAATGTCCTGGATTGTCTGGCTCAATAGCTAAGAGTTTCTCTGCAGCTTCAACTGCCAAATCAAAATTCTTATGCATCTTGCAAGCTCCAAGCATTGCAGTCCAAATCGCCGGACTTGGCCTTTTCAGCCCTCGAACATAATCGTATGCCTCGTTGAGTAACCCAGCTCTCCCGAGCAAATCAACCATGCAAACATGATGCTCGGTTCCAGGCACCACACCATAATCACTTATCATGCTCGAAAATACTGCCCGCCCTTCACTTACCATACCTCCATGAGCACAAGCTGATAGCATAGCCACAAAAGTAACCTCATTCGGCGATGGACCATTACATTGCATTAGATTATAAATCTCCATAGCTTCTTTACCATAGCCATGAATTCTGTATCCTGATATCATCGCGGTCCATGCCACAACATTCTTCTCTCTCATTACGTCGAAAACTTCCCTCCCTTTCCTCACATTCCCACATCTACCATACATGTTTATCAATGCAGTCCCAAGAACAACATTCAACTCAAACCCATGATCAACAATGTACTCATGAACCCAAGAACCTAACTCAAGTGCACCCAACTGAGCACAAGCTGATAAAACCCCAACAAAAGTAGCCGAATCAGGATCAACACCCGACTTTCTCATCAAATTAAACAAATCAACAGCATCTTTAGAAAACCCATTTTGCTCATACCCTGAAATCATGGCATTCCAAGCAACAATACTTCTTTTCGGCATTTTATCAAACACCTTACGTGCAACCCTAACCTCGACACATTTCCCATAGAATGCAACCAAAGAAGCCTGAACAAAACAATCTGTAACAAACCCATTAACCACAGCATGTGAATGCACAGATTTACCCAACTTGAAGGCAGAAACAACAGAGCAAGATTTGATCAAAGAAGTGAAGGTGTAGTTTGAAGGAGGGATGAAAGAGAAAATCATACGCTGGTAGAAGAAAACGGCGTCGTATAGAAGACCCAGTTTGGAGGAGATTCGAATGAGGGAGTTAAAGAGATAGGAATCTGGGTTTGGAATGGAAAGAGAAAGCTTTCTGGCGTAAGCAATGGAGGAGCGAGAAGAACAAGCTAAAATGGCGAGCTTAGTGAGCAGAGATGAGCTCCAGTGGTTATAAGGTGGGCGTGCACCTGCTTGAGCTGTTTCAGACGAGGGCCTGCTCGTTGCAGAGCTTGATAGGCTGATAATGGAGGTGATGATTCAGAATGATTTGTTTCAGCCATGGAAGAGAGAGAAAGTGGCTTAGATTAACGTTATTAACAAATGGCAAAATCTAACAAACGTCTAATCTAGTTAAAAGTATAAAGATTAAATTAAAAATTAATATAAATTACATCGACCGACGCCTAATTTTGTGGTGCATTTCCAAATTAATGATATTTTAAATGTTTAGCCCTAAAGGCGTTCATTAGCAAGATCCTTAACAAAATTATATTAAGTTCCAATGTTAAGTTGGCATGATACCTTGGCATTGTACATTAATTACATGGGGCAACCGGTGATTAATTTGATTTATGAAATCACGAGTTGCTCTCTAACAACTAAAAGAGAATAGGTTGATTATTAGGTCGTTACTAAAACTATTACGTTTTTGGTTAATCGGTTTTTATGTTGAACGTTTGCTCACCATAAAAGGCCTAACATGTATATTCGATAAAGTTTTGAAACAAAAAATGACAATAAAATTGTGATAGATTAAATTATAAGAAACAACAGATTATATAAGCTGATAAACAAGTTTGGCATGATTGACACAAAACAAGGTTGCAAATATACTCATTTCGCATTCTACTCCTTGCACAGTTGTGCCTGGCAATATCTTGATCAGGTAAAGAGTAGTTAACTGCTCAGATGCAAGCAGCTGAATGTTTACTCACCGACAAGCTATGAAGGGAATCTTAGCTATCAATAGCTACGCAGGAATGTAAGCTAATGGATCACTTGGTTATCAATTAGACAAGGCAACACATGCACAATCAAGACCTAATGAAATCCATAGCTGCTTTGCCTGCTTATTCAGGAACAAGAATACACTTGTTGACAATTGATAATCAGCATGCTTTATTCAGCCAGTGATTGCTGCTCATCTTTTGAGTACCGGCTTATCAATCATTCAAAGCCATACGCAGAGAGAAGTCTCCAATGCTATTATATACTCTAATAATAACATTCAACTTCACACTGAAACTACCACAGAACATGACTTCTGCTAATCGCCGCTGTAAGGCTGCCTGTGTTTTAATTGTAAGCATAACGTTGAACGTAGTAGAATCACCACATTGGAGCCTCTTACTATTGCTTAAGCAAGCCATAGGAAGACCTGAATGACAGGAGAAACATAGATAATCTAATATGTTGACACTATCAAGGGCAACAAGAGAATATAAGAAGACATTCACAGTTGAAACTAAAGCTCTTGAGAAAAACGTTTAAGTTATCATCCTCTTCTTTCCCAAGACAGAAAAATTTACTACTTTAACCTCTCTTTGCAAAATAACAGAGGCCATAACCACAACTTGAAACAAACTTTTTTTCGAGGGAAATAACTTGAAACAACTTGAAACAAACTTGCATAGTCAGTAATGAAAATAGTTTTATACTGATGAAATATACTAAAAAAAAGCTGTGAAATCACTGATAGAGACGTACAGTACTATCAGTTCTAGCCAATCGTTTAAATTTTACTGCAAAACCATAATGGAGAAATTTAGTGCATAAAATAAATGCTTCGCAATGAATGGATGCTCTAAGGTAACTTAGTATTAGTTGCACTTGATGACAATTAAAATTCATTACATTTCAATGCTGCAATTTGAAAGACATGCCTTTGATTTGAATGAATTTCACTTGATCAAATTGGTGCCTTTATTGAGCTAAAAAAAATTCAAACATTGATAATATATACAGAAAAAATCGGCCACAAACTACAGCATGACAGAATGTGGCAAGAGAATATCCTTTCTATTAAAAATCTAAAATAGCTACGACATCAGAAAATTGATATTTAATGAGAAATGAAAATTTAGAATAAAACTAAAGAGATATCATATTACTGCACAACAAAAATTAATAAAATTTCCTTCTCACATTTAGGTTAGTGAAGGGTGAATCAAGTCATACATACAGCAGGTTCCTGAATCAAAGAAGCAAATTGCTTGCCTATCTGCATTCATTTCCATACCCTACCGATGGCGCAAAATCTGAGAAGAATTACAAAATAATATTTTAAGGAGATCAGCAACATGAAGGATGCTAAAAGCAATATTTAAATGTAATGCACACATCATCTCTGACCAGAAAACCTTTAAAAATTTAGTAGTAAAAGCAAGATAGCCAATTGTCATACAAATATTTCAATCAACATGACATTGAGATAATATGATACCTACATTATAATAAGTACAAGATGATGGCACAAGGTTTTAATAAAGGGCATGGAAATAGCCGTTGGTTAACTAGCATCCAACTTTTGGACCAAAATACCCTGGACAGCAGCAAGCATAAATAATTAAATTAGATAGTATTATTATTTTGTCATATAACTCATTAGGGTCATTGTTAATTGGGATTCCAAAGTCCCTTCCCCGCCTCTTTCATGTTTAATTGATTGATTAATAAGGGCATAACGGTTATTCTAAACACTCTGAGCGCCATTGTACAGAGTTCCTGACAGTACCGCATTATCATCTTTTAAGACAGGAATCCAAAAGGAGCTACAAGTAAAAAAAATGTGCGATGGCATGGCACTTTAAACAAACTTTACTATATAATAGTTTTAACAGCTTTTGAGGTATAATAAGATGATAAGTAGAGCATTTGATAAAATTCTAAAAAGTAGATTCTATCTATAAAGCATATAGCTTTCACTATTCATATCCTATTTCAAAAATTACTAATACTTAGGCAAATTGATAGCATCAAATTTTGGAGGTACCACTGATTACAGTTCACCATGGGTAATGACACTATCAGCTATAAAAACTTTTATATGAAATGCTGACATGGATAGGAAAAGAACGGTTAGAAATTTTAAATAGCATCTACGGGAATTGACAAAAACATTGTTAAACTACTTTAACGAGAAAGCATTATTGCATAAGCTCAAAAGCGACAAGGAAGGAACAGATAATTTATGGATAAGAAAGGGACTAGTAAATATAATCTTTTTTTTCAAAATATATTTTAGGTGTCAGTCAACTTGGTCTAAGATCTATTAAGTTTCCATGTACAGTATTAGAAGACAATAGCTATGAGAAGAATATTACCTCTATTCACACTTAAATTCTGATTTATCATTTGGCAGTAAGAAGTTGCGAAATTTGGAGGCCCCTGCTGAAACCTTCATTGAAAAGGATCCTAGTTTGCATTGACTGAAATCCAGGCATCCAAGACAACAAAGCCACGGGAACCATAACAATCATGCCAAATGTCAAATCATAGAGCCGAGCCAAGGAAACCACGGTGTCCCAGACAACCGAAGTTTGCAGAAAGGGACGGAGCACCTGAGCAATTTGAATGATGCCCCAGCCTGTTGGGATAAAAGCTAGAGCACTGGTCAGGAGATCCATAACTTTAAACCTGGTGAATTTCAACAGAATAACAATCACCAGTATAGTGAGGGATATGACTGAAGACTGTATTATCCTGAAGTAGATATGTTTTTTAGCACCATACTTGTCCCGGGCATATGCTACGATTACACACATCCCAACAAGTAGAAAAAAGTGGAGCCAAGAGAGCAAATAAACACCGATACTGGTCTTTCCAGCAGCAATATTGAGCTGATACACAATGCCGTACTGAAAAAAGAAGAAACGAAGGTCTAATAAAATCTCCAATAACTTCCCCCACAAACCAGTAGTTTTGAGATGTTCCTGCTCTTCATACCACCAGGTTTCCCAGCTCCTTTCGGCCTTAGTGGACACTCCACTACCATACCATATCCAAGTTATGAAATCATCAAAGTCATATACAGTCTTTAACCAATCAAAGCCAGATGGGTTAAAAACAAATGGGGCCAAAATCCATGAGACTACGAGGAACCAACTAGAGATCGACATGGCTATGTAGACAAATGTACTCGTGGCCATTGGGCTGTGAGAAGCATAAACAATCAATATCACCCCAAGCTCAATCGCCTTCACAAAATGACTACGAGAATAAAGCCTATAGTTCTCAGCGAATCTCTTATGCTCTACAACAAACCCACGTCCAGTAGCACGGTACTTAGCACCTCCATGAAGAATTGTTCGGCCAAAATAATGGCATCTAGTTCCCATTGAGAAGGTGTAAAACAACGAAGCTAGCTGCAGCTGCATTTTCACAAAGTCCCATATTGCTGGAAGAAAACCATGCTCCAGAGAATTCTCCACAATCATTGGGAGAGCAGTGAAGAGGCCGATTTGAATGATAAACTGCTGGTTCACAATAGCACCTAAGGCTGCATTATTGCTGCTATGTTTAACAGCATGATCCTCCACGCCACTAAGAGCAAGATATAAGCGGCCCCACAAAAAGGTATAGATGGACAGAACCACCATCATTGTATTGAAATAGAAACCCACAGTGGTATAGAAGACTGAAAGCATCCGAAAGAAGTCCAGCCGATGGCCCAACCTGTACACATCCCTGCTGAGAACTTGCTCCCCATTTCCGCTAGCAACCTTTGCTTCAAACATGGCAATCTGATTCAACCCTACATCCCTACCTTTACCCACCTGTATGTACTCATGATGAGTTATATTACCACTTCGAAGCGTGCAGTTGAAACCAGCAAATATGTCCTCACTCAAGTTGATCAACTTAGACGCCTTACTGATTCCACCACGAGTAAGAAACCAAAACCTATCAAACACATCTGGGTGACCATAGTGCATACGCACCTTAAGAGGATTTGCCAGAACACGCTGGCCAAGAGTGACAAAACTTGTCTCCTGAGCAGACATGAACCAAGCAAGAGAGGACACAGAACCTGTGAAGATGTTTTCTCGGACTCCGAGAATCGTTGGCTTCCTGATCCCGTAGTACTTGTTGAATTCCTCCAAGAGGTTGCGTATCTTAAGAGCTTCCTCAAAATAATTGTCTTGATTCATGTCAATCGTCTGGAGAGCATCACCTCGAGTAAAAATAATGGCATGATTCTGGTTCTCTGGTTTTCCTTCTCCCAATTTCACAGGACCAGGCAACTTGATCCTATATATCTCCACTTCTCTCTGCAGCTGCTGATCGTACTTAACAAGAACTGAATAGTATTCTACAACATCCCTCGCCAGGTGTACCTCATCAACATAAGCAACTCGAAGAGCCTCGTCATTTTTCATCAAAAACAAGATCTCCTCTGCACGTGAGTCCCCTGCCATTTTGTGAATCCCATATACCTGACAGGTTACCACATAAGTAAATTTCATCATAGCAGTCCCAAACTCATGGCCTTTGTATAGGATATTCATACCACTAGGTGCTCTTCCAAGATTGCGTGAAGATGGAACTCTGATTGAACCTAAGCCTCTAATTGATCCTAAGCCATCCCAATTATTACTCAGAGTCAATGAACCATGTGAGGCAATTTGTTGACTACCAGCCCTTATATCCACTTCTGATGCTGAATCCAGATAGGCAAGCATCTTGAGCGCCTGATAATAATACATCATTCCCCTCACAGTACGAGAAAGAGTTTGGCCTCGGTATGATGCCCAAAGACGCAGTTCCTTGACCTTCATTGTCCAAATTTCTCTCTCATCTTCCAAGCCTTCCCTCCTCATCCGCTCCATGAAATTATCCCATTCATCCTCATATATTTTCTGCAGATAGAACAAGATGGAAATGCCATCCTCATTCGCACTTTTGAGTTTGCTAGTTCCATAAATAACGTCTTCGTCATAGTAAGGCGTCAATACACTGAAGGCCATCATCTTCTCCACCTGAGGAGCGTGGGGCATGTTCATGAAGACAGAGTTGCTAAAGAAGGAAATGCGTCTCCGAGCCTCTTTATTTTTTGGTACATTGTGCATAGAATCCCTAGAAGTAAGAAGTGTATGCAAACGACGCAGCTGTCTGTAATAGAACACATCCTCCTCATCAGGAAATTCAACAGCATTCTCAAAAAGAAACCCTGTATCTGTGGCAGGATTTTGAAGTGCTAAACCCACCGCCCTTAACTCCCCCACGGACCTCTTATTTTTTGAGAATTCACGAACACAAAGCTCATATGACGCCTGCAAGACCTTAATTATTTCATCAATATCCTTCTCAGGACTCAGCAGAAGCTCCGTAAGAGTTACCAATCTGTCATGAATCTGCGGTAGCAAAGTCAACTTATAGAATGTAGTAAACTTCTCATTCTCCATATAGTATTCCATCTCTTTGAAAGCATTAATAACAATTGAATGCTCTTCTGTACCATATTTAACAACATGATTGAGCAGCAAATATTTGATGCTATCATAGGCCTCTATGATTGCACACCTTCGGTACTCGCTCTTGCACATCTTGTGCCAAACCCACCTGTCGTGATCATTTGCCATCTTTTTTGCCTGGCTGACAGATAGAAGAAGCTCATTACAAAGAAGAATACATGGCCAGCGAATAACCCTGATATTCCAACAGTTGGGTGAAAGCTCCAAAAGTTCCACTTCTCGATCACCAAGAAGATCTTCTTCCCTCATATATTTAATTATCTCATTCCATAACAAGGCAAAACGTGTTGCCTCCACCTGGCTAGATTCAATCTTCTTGTAGGCCTTCCCAAATCCATAACGAAGCCTCAATCTTTGTACTGCATCTCTAAGCTTGTGCACAATATTTATCACTTGCACTGTGGGCAGCTGCTCCTCTGGCATGAGATTGAACTGCATGGCACTAGCGAAGAATTGGAACCTAAGCCTGAGCTGCCAAATATTCCTAATCTCACCCAAATGAGAGAATAGTCCAACATATGCACCAACCAACGAGGAGAAGACAGAATACCATATCTGTAAGTCCACGAGATAGATAATAATAACAGGAAGCCACAGCAATACAACTGCTATTCTGTTAGTGTTACTGAAAAACTCGTGCCAATTATAGTGTACACCCCTCAACCTCAAGAGGGCCTTTGTTGGGCCTATCAAGGGCTTGATCTGAAGACAATAGCTAAATGAAAATTTTGCAGCCAAAATTAAAACCCAAAACAAAGAATACTTAATGTTGTCGATCAGCCCTTCCCTCACAGCACGACCCACAAAAGTCCGCCTATGAAACCACCACGTTACCAAGTACAACAAAGGAAAATTAACCTCCTCAAAAAAGTTCCTAACCCATGGAACAACAAAAAGAACCAAGGCCAACAATTCCGGGATAATAAACACAAAGGCTGCCTTAAGAAACATGAGTATCCTCTGATTTGCCTCATAAGACCACCCCCGGCGACGATCCCTATCTTTCTGACTCCAAATCCTAACATAAAACACAGAGAACACAACAATCCAAGCCACAGCCACCATGCTCTTTAGCACCATCCTCACACCAAGCAACCACTTCTCCCGAGTCACCAAACTATACTGAGTCCCCGCATCAAGAATGGACTGAATCAACCTAAGCCCCGCCCACGTTATAAAAACCGTAAGCAACTTGACCTGAACCTCCCTCTTCCCAATCGCCTCCCACGGCCAATCCGTCCCATCCAACGCCACAACAATCATGGCATGTAAGAACAAGAACAACAACACCCAAACCCTATCAAAACTCCTAAACACATTCCAAAACGACCTTTGCTCCACAAACCCCGTCTTCCCCACCCTCGCCGCCTTACTAGCCGTGGTAAAATAATTACTACTCCTATCCAAAGGCCACTTAAGCGACTTAAAACACCTCTTCCTCCAAAAAAACTCATTCAAATCATCATAATTCCGCCACGCCGAGTGTGGCTTCCTTCCACCCTTACTAAAACTAACCTCATCCCGAATCGTATCGTAAAGGGGTTTCACAACCTGATCTAAAAATGCATTGTCACCACTAATTACCGGCAAATACGGCCGCCCCGTTTCCGGGTCATCTCGATTATCAAGTATCATATTAAGTTCTTGTGACATATGATGAAAAATATAACAAATACATTCAGGCATAAACCTTAAATTAGCAGATTCACCCCAAATTAACAAGTAAAGAGATACATACAATAACTCCCGCCGAAATTCATCGCTCCCTTTTCGGAACAGTGGGACTCGAACCCGAGACCTCTTCCCAACAAACGAACACCACGAACTGTAATTCGCCAGAAGCTTCTTCCGGTACTTCCGCACCAGGTCGAAATCCAAAACGGCGGCGTTTGACGGCGGTGGTGTCATCCGCATTTGAGAGTTTGCCAGGTGAAGAACAAGGTGCTCTCGTTGGTTCCGAACGTTGTCGTTTTGAAACCCAAAGAAAAGACCCAACCAATCTAGAAGGTCGTAGTTGTCGTGCCACGTGTGAAAGGGTGGTTTCCGGAGGTCCTCGACGGCGCGTAACGCTGACGCGGCGGCGCGTACTTCAGGGTAGCGCGTGGAAGGGTGGTCAATTAAGAGGTCGTGGATTGGGATTATGTTGAAGGGTTTGTACGAGGTTGTTTGTGGTGGTATAGGTGGCGGCGCGTCGGGAAACGCGCGCGTGGGATTCGCTCTTGGCCGGCGATTCATTACTTTTTTAAATAAAAGATTGTATCTTTTTTGTTATTTGGGTTTAAAGTAGCATGGAGGAGAGAGAAAGAGGAAGAGGGTGTTGTGAAATGGAAGTAAGAGAGGAAGTTCAAGTGGGGTTTGTTAATGGCGGAAGAGAGAGAAAGTGGAGGGAGGAGAGAGAAAGTGGTGGTGGGGAGAGAGAAAGACTGAAGAATGACTGTTAAGTTCGTGTGTTGTTGTGTGGAGTAATGTGTAGGTGGGATTAATGTTTTTTTTTTTTTTTTTTTTGAATAAAAAATTAAATTTGAAAAATAAAAAATAAATGATGGAATCGAGAATCTATCTAATGTTGGCAGCTTTGGTGTAATTGTAGCGTAGTAGAAACAACTTTATCATTTTATCATTTTAAGCGTTTGAGAAAATGAAAATTGTGTAAACGGATGTCACTTGTTTTTGTCATCTATTTTTTCTTAATTTGGTACAACTAATTGGATTTAAATTTTAAAATATGTGGAAAATAAATAACCCCTTTCTTTTTAAATTTTTACATACGGTCTTCTACTAATACTTGTATTTTTATTTATTTTTTTGCCAAGAAGAGCTAACAACGAAAAGACAGATAAACAAAATAAACTACAAACTAAAAAACCAAAAAAAGAAATCACGACGACGAGCTTTCATCGCTAACTAGTGAGCTGGAGCAACCCACTGTTGCGGAACCTTCCGAAGTTCGCAAGCAGAATATTCCCGAATAACAGTCCGAATATCTTGGAGCAGCCATAAGCTAGAAATGTCTCGATCCGTTCCATCTCGAAGGAAAGAAAATAAGGTTGAAAATCAGGGTAAATCAACAAACGACGAAAATCACACCGATTCGCTGCCCGAAGAGCCCAGAGGCATGCCTGTAACACAAAATGGAGAGCTAAACTAGAAAGGAAGGCCCTAGACCCCCCGCGCCATAACCAGCTCTGAATCTGGTCGTCAAAAAATCCAACCCACGCCAGCCGTATAGTCTTGAACCTTACACGCACCATCAAACACAAGGCTAGCATCATAGGGAGAAAGAAGGGAACCACGAAGACAACAAGTAACTGGTCTCTCTCCCGTCCTAGAGAAGGGGCGCCTAACAGAGGAGCGAATAAGAGTTTGAAACTCTTAGCTGAAGAGCTCCTCGAAATCCACTCCTGTATAAGATGTATGCACTACAAAAAAAACGCTCATTTACCGATGGGATTTACCGATGGCTAGAAAAATCCATCAGTAAAAAATTAATTTACCGATGGTTTAACTTAGCCATCGGTATATTTTTTCCGATGGCTTTCTTCCATCGGTAAAATATAAAATTTTAAAATAAAATAATTACCGATGGCTATTGGCTATCGGTATTTTACCGATCGGTAATCCCTACTTTATAAAAAGTGGAAAGTTGTTCTTATGAACAGTGGTCGGACCTTTATACCCTTAAAATTGTTTATTTACCTTATTACCCCCACAATAATTCACACCTTCTCTCTTCAGCTTTCTCTCTCCTCTGCATGTGTCTTCATTGCCGAACAGAAGTATTAAGTGTTAAACTTAATTTCACAATTCTCCATTCAAGTGGTGAGTTTTACAATTCAGAATTTTACTTTTACATTTTCAATTCAAGAAAAATTGATATGAAATTGGCCAAGAGTTGATATAAGCTCCATTGAAGTGCTGATTTTACAATTGGCCAAGAGAAGTTTATATATGCTCCATTGAAGTGCTGAATTTTACAATTCTGAATTTAATTTTTTCATTTTCAATTCAAGAAAAAATGATACCAAATTGGCCAAGAGAAGTTCATATAAGCTCCATTGAAGTGCTGAATTTTACAATTCAAGTTGACACAATAAATGACATCAAAGAAGCATTTCGTGGTCCATCGGCTGGTGACGACCATGGTAAGGATGCGGGTAGAGGACAGCACAGCCGCCTGTCGAGGGGGAGGCGGCGGAAGATGATAGTCAGACTTAATGGGAGGTGGGTCACCGGTGCTTCCGGCAACTCTTTCTCTCTCCTCTCTACAGTGCAGAAATACAAGGTTTGTACTCCTCCACTAACAAAATATTAGTTCTGAATTATGGCCAAGAGTTGGTTTAGTATTGATTTATACTCACAAAAAAAAATGGATAGGCAAAAAGGTTTTTGATTGTTGTTCATTTGATGGTTATTTTTGTAATAGTATAAATTGATTGATTAAATCAGTGATTTTTCAAGCTGGGAAATTCATACAGTAAAATTGATATGTAGTTGATATTTGTGTATATCAATGGCATGTTTGCGAATTAGTGTGAATCTTTTGTTCAATTTTTGTGTGTAAAAGTACATAATTTAGTTTCATAATAAATGACTATGTAGGCTGCTATACAGCAACACCTTTTGTAAGCTCAATTACAAGATCATTGCACCACTCCAATATGATAGTCACAACACCAACTCAACGCAACAATAACATACAACTTTGGTTGTTATATGCTATACAATTCACACACAAAACTAATTTAAAATTGACTTTACAAAACACCATCACACAAGCGATTGATTTTGAAAAAGAAAATCCAATAGAAATGAACGTATTAAACAAGTAAAAAACAACACAATGTAAACAAAAAAGGCGAGCCGTTCCGCGCGCATCACGCGCGTTGGCTCCCCTAGTTTTTTTAAAAAAAAAAAATAAAAAAAAATGAAGTAAACCCTAAAAGCGCCCCCTTCCCCTTTTCACTTTCTTCTATCTTCTTATCCCACGCTTCTCTCCTTCTCTCTCCTCTCCTTTTCTCTCTCCTCTCTCCTTCCCCCTTTTGCTCTTTTCTCCTCTCTCTCGGTTTCTCCTCTCACTTCCATTCAAATGTTTTTTCTCTTCCTCATCTACCTCTCATCTCGGTTTCTCCCTCACTCTCAGTTTTGTTCTCTCTCATGGTGTTTGTGGCTTTGTTCGGCGATGTTCGTGGGCTATTTGTGGGATTTCCGACGGCACTGTGGTGTTTTTGGTCTAATTCGACCATAAAAACTCCAGATATGGAGTATCTGGAGTTTTTATGGTCGAATTAGACCATTTAAACCTTGAGAAATGAAATGAATTGAAAATCTAAAGGTATGTTATTTGTGGTTGAATATTCGTTGGTTTTTTTTGTTTTTCGTGGGTTTTGTCGTTGATTTTCGTTGATTTTATGGTTAATTTCATGGGTTTTGTGGTTGATTGTCTTATTTTTGTGGTTGATTTTCGTGGGTTATATTGCTGAATTATTTGGTAGATTTTCGAGGGAGTTGTGGTTGATTTTCGTTGGATTATTGTGGTTGATTTTCGTTGGTTTTTTTGGTTGATTTTTGTTGTTTTTTGGTTGATTTTCGTTAGTTTTTATGGTTGATTTTCATGGATTCATTGTTTTTTTTATTGGTTTTTTGGTTGATTTTCGTTAGTTTTTGTGGTTGATTTTCATGAATTATTGGTTGTTTTTTTTTATGATGGTGGTGGTGGTTGCGGTGGCTCGGGACTTAGGTGGTGTGGGTAGGTGGGCAGTACGGGATTGGGGGTGGTAGGGGGGCAGTAAGGGGATGTAGGGGTATGGGGGTAATAGGGTGGGTAGGCGGGTTTAATTTTTTTTTTTTTTAAATGATTACCGATGGCTAAACACCATCGGTAATAAGGTCATCGGTAAAAAAAAAAACCGCTGGTTTAAGCCATCGTTATTTAAAAAATTACCGACGGAGTTTAGCTATCGGTAAAACCATCGGTAGTATTTTTACCGATGGCTTTTCCATCGGTATTTTCTGATTTCCCGACGAATTGTTATCCGATGGCCAAAATACCGATGGCAGCCATCGGTAAACGTGATTCCGATGGTTTTTTATATGTTTACCGATGGATTTTGGCTATCGGTATTAGGCTATATTCTAGTAGTGATGACTAGAGCCAAAGATAAAACAGCCTGCCAAAAGATTTTATGATTACCAGCCAGCCAATCAGCCTAGAAGAAAGACACAAGAGAAACTAAGCCGTCCCAGTTTCGAGCCTGACATAAGTCCAAAATCAAGTCGATAAAGGCTTCTAGAAAAGGCTTGTTATGTTGAACCGAAAAAATTGGATCCGTGAGAACTTGAAAAAACTTTTATATTTTATGTAATTTTAATTACTTATAAGGTGTCACACATCTATATCTATCTATACTTCTATATCTATACTTAGTATTTAAAAAAAAAACCATCATCCCTATAATGCCACATGTACATTTTTTTTTTCTCCAATGCCACACGTCACTTCATTTAATCTTTCTTTTTTTAATCCCTTCTCATATGAAAAAAAAAACACTTTAATTCAATACATGTATAAATTATTGAATGTTGTTTGGTTCACTTTCCTCCAGTTTAATTTCTACTACAATTGCATTCAATTTTCACCTCTTCTTCTCCTCTAACTATTCATTTGCCAATATAAATATATAAAAAAATAATTATTTATATAGTATACCTATAAATAAACAGTGCATTGCACGGGCCAGAATGCTAGTTCACTATAAGAACACTACTTAGTATTACTCGTATTTTGCTGTTTACGTCCCATTAATCTCATTTATGTTCATTCTTTATTCCTTCTTTCACAAACAATTAAATATACCCATTTATGTGTGAGAAGATTTTGCGTGAAACCGTTTCACGTGAGTCCGGTTTATAATGCGCATAGTCGAACACCCATCCCCCACCCACTGCCACTACCTAGCCACTTGTAGGCGGCCGGCGGCCGGCGACCACCCTCCCTTTCCCATCCCCCGGTGCCGGCGACCCTCCTCCATCCATTCCCAGATAGAGAATCGCACAAAATTCCGTTATTGGCAGACCTTTAAGAATAAATTATTAGCTTCAAATTCAGCCTTTGTTATGGAGGACGATAAATTTTTGAAAATATTGAAGGTTAGTGATATGTCCATTTTATATAGTAATTTACCCCCGTCCCTTGGTCATAATTAGTAGTGTTTTTGGCTCTTTCGAGCCACTTTTATTACTAATTGGTGTTTTCTAGTATTTTCGTAGTCTTTGTTGAGTTTTGTAGGGAATTGCACCTTTGGAGCATTTTCTCGGGTTTTTCATGGAGCGACTACGGGAATTAGAAGAGCACGACCATCTTTGAAGCCCAAGGCCGGTTAGAGTCATCGAGTCGGTGATTAAGGACTCGGTAATTGGGATACCGAGGTACTTGGACCGAGTATTCAAGACCCGAAGAGGAAATCCGGATTGGGCCGAGGAATCAAGCCCAATCGAAGTCCGAGCCTCGAAGTGAAGCAAGGGCCCGATCGAGCAAGGATTAGCACGATCGGGCGCGGCATGCATGGTGCTGGTGCGTGGCCTAAGGCGCGCCCGATCGTGCGAGCATCTAGCTCGATCGGGCGGCGCTGATGAGAAGGGGCCCGAAGAAAAAGGCGCGCCCGATCAGGCGGCCTCTAGCCCGATCGGGCGCGTGTTTTTCTCAGACCTGATTAGTTTAGTTTTA